TTTCTGACACATGGCTCCACCTTCGGACGAGCCATTTGAGTCCAGTGGTCCATACTCTGAGGTTGTGGGTTGTCTCATGTACCTGATGACCTGTACTCGCCCAGACCTAGCTTACCCTCTTAGCATCCTTGCGTGTTTGTTGTGCCTGGAAGACACCAACCGTCCCACTCGAACGCTGCTAAGAGGGTGGCGAAATATTTCGCGAATACATCAGGCATGGGACTTGTCCTTGGAAAGAAGCACCTCGTTACACTCATAGGTTACTCGGACTCGTCGTGGGCCGATGACGTGGAGACGCGTCGGTCTACACTGGGGTACTCCTTTAGCCTCGGACATGTGTTGTTTCGTGGCGGTCGAGTCGAGCGTCGTCTATCTCCAGTTCTGTCTTTAGGAGCTTTGATGGCCGTTTTTCCTCCTCACCAACCTTGGTGAGCGGCTTCGCTCTCCCCCAGTCTTGTTCGCCGACAACAAGTCTGTGTGAGAAGCTCTGACTGGCAAGGAAGAGGAAGCACATCGAGCTTCGTTGATTCCTTCTATGTGATTTGCAGCAGCGTTGCCAGGCTCGCATCGTTCATGTGGTCTCTGAGGCCAACACAAGAGATGGCTTCACCAAGGTGTTGTCGCCTTGTGACCACTACCGTTTCTGCACCCAGCTTGGCCGTATGGCTGCTTGTCCTCACTTGCTTGTGTAGAGATGCTTTGTCCTGCTTGTCTTGTACTCTTGCGTTTCCATATATTTGCTATACAACTACATGTGGACTGGCCTTATGGCCCCTTGCTTGCTCTTGGAGTGTGTGGCGACTTTGAGCTCGACCCTGAGATTTGTCTTGTTCTTGTGGACTGGTCTTGTGAACCTTGCTTGTTCGTGCTGACTGGACATTACCCTTGCTTGTTCTTGCTAACTGGTCAAGTGACCCTTGCTTGCTCTCAAACTGTATGTCTCCTTGATACCCACCCTGAGATATATGTTGCTTTCCATAGGGCTACCATCACCCAAACTATGGGGGTGTGTCAAAATATATTTTATATGTGTTGTTTAGGTTTGTCTATGTGTTACATTCCTATTTTCTAGGGTTTGCTATATCTTCTTGTACCTGCAGGATACTAAACAAGAATATGAACAGAAGAAGGGGGATTGTACTAACAGGCAGGTGGAGTACATATAGGAAACCCTAAAAGGGTTGTACTCTCTGTTGAGTACCCCACTACAGCCTACACAACACATACCATTCTGACACACCTCACAGGCAAAGTGGGGTATAGTCAACACAACAAGCAATCGCATGACTAGGTCATAAGCAAAGGCTAGTGAAAGAACTAGAGGGCAAGAGAGGAGGGGGGGGGGGGGACTATGAGAGGAGAGGAGGTAGGAGGCGGCAGCTGAAGCTGCTGGCACACGGGCGACTGGAGCAACTGGCACACAGGCTACCGGAGCAAGGGCATCCGGACTACTGGAGTAACTGGCTCCGCGGCTAGTCGAGCGGCTGGAGCAACTGACCCACGGGCGACTGGAGCAATGGGCTCGCGGGCTACCGGAGAAAGGGCATCCGGACTACTAGAGCTGCAGGCTTCATGGCGGCTACCTCCTTTCATCCTCCCCCATTGTCACACACCCCCTTTCCACACCCCCTTCTGCATCCCTAGCGCCACTCCCTCGGCTCCCCCACACCCTCCCCCCCTTAGCGGCAGCTGCAGCAATGGGAGAGAGAGGAGGAGCAGCAGATTACTCACACCTGCCACCCCCATACCCGCCACCCCCATACCCTCCCCCCAACGGCTGCACACGCAGCAGGGAGAGGAAGGAGAAGGGGGGGCCGGGGGGGCGGGGAAGAAGCTGCCCCGTGGCTACAGAGGGGCGGCGCACGGGTGCATGGGGCGGCGCACGGGTGCACGGGGCGGCGCGCGGGTGAACGGGGCAGCGCGCGGGTGCCACGGGGCGGCGCACGGGTGCAAGTAAACCGTCGCGCGCCAAACCGCCGCGCGCCCAGGGCGCGAAGCGGGCAGAAAACCGCCGCGCGCCCAGGGCGCGTGGCGGGCAGAAAACGTCGCGTGCCCCGGTAGGAAAATAGTCACGTGCCCGGGGCGCACAACTGAAAGAACAGCAGCGGAAACGAACGGTGGGCCCATTGAGGAAGGCTCAAGGAAAGAGCCTGCTCTGAATACCATGTCAGAATATTTAAGCGAGGATGTGAACAGAATAAGGGGGGGGTGTACTAGCAGGCAGGTGGAGTGCATATAGGAAACCCTAAAAGGGTTGTACTCTATGTTGAGTACCCCACTACAGCCTACACAACACATAACATTCTGACAAGTAAGGCGAACTGGCGCGCTAGGCAGCAGGGCGCACTGGCGCGCAGGGTGTGCGGGGGCGTGCGGGGGCGTGCGGGGCAGTGCGCACGCTAGTGGGCAGGGCAGTAAAAACAGGCAGGGCAGAACGTATGGTGGGCCTAAAAAAAAAAAAAAAAAACAGTCCTACGAAGCGGACCGCTCTGAAACCATGGCATGATCAATACAGCGGAATGAGGTGCACTAGCATGAGTAAGTAGTACAAGTAGTGCTAACCCTAATGGGTTGTACTCAGTACAGTATACCCTCTACCCCACAACAGCCTACACAATATGTAAATTATTTTGACAAAGAAGACTGTTAGAATCCTAAGCCAAGTTGGGGCTTAGGTTTTAGGAAGGAGAAATGGAAGAAGAGAGAGGTGCACTAGCAGGCAGGTGGGATACATGTAGGAACCCTAAAAGGGTTGTACTCTCTGAGGAATGACCCCACTACAGACTACAGAGCAAATAACAATTTGACACACCCCCATAGGCAAAGTGGGGGATAGCCTACACAACAAGTAGTCGCGAAACCAGTTCACAAGCAAAGACTAGTGGCAGAAGCAGAGGGCAAGTGAGGAGGAGGAGGAAACTGGAGAGGAGAGGAGGTGGGCGGCCGCTGAAGCTGCTGGCTCTAGTCACAAACGGCGCAACTGGCTCTGCTCGCCGGCAAGAGCAACTGACCCTCCGGGGACCGGAGCAACGGGTAACCGGAGTAACTGGCTCGCTCGCCGGCAAGAGCAACTGACCCACGGGCCTCTGACGCAACGGTCTCACGGGCGACTAGAGCTGTGGACTTCACGGCAGCCACCCGCCCTCCACCCCCTCGAATTGTCCCACCCCCCCCCTTGTCACACCCCTCGGCCCTAGCGCCACTCCCCAACCTCACCCACTCCATCCCCCCTTCAGCGGCAGCTACAGTAGTGGGAGAGAGAGGAGGAGGGGCAGCTGGTCACGCGCTCCCTCCACCCCCATACCCCCCGACCCCCGCCACCCCCATACCCTCCACACGGCTGCACGCGCAGCAGGAAATCGGAGGAGGGGGGAGGGCGGGCGGCGTCGCGACGTTCAGGGCGCGGGCGGGCTGTGGGGCGCTCGCAATGGGTAGGGCACAGGCAGCAGGGGTGGGTCCAGGAGGGCGGCACGCGGGTCCCTGGGGGCGCCTCGACGGGGGGCGACGCGCGAGTCCCCGAGGGCGCCGCGACGGACGACCGGGGGGGGGGGGGGGGGGGGGCGGGCTGGTCCCTGGGGGTGCCGCGACGAACGACGGGGGCGGCGCGCTAATTTCCGGGGGCGCCGCGACAGGCGATCAGGGGCCGCGCGCGGGTCCCTGGGGGCGCCGCGACGAACGACGGGGCGTGAAACCGTCGCGCGCGCCTGGGGCGCGTAGCGGACAGGAAACCGCCACGGGCCTCGAGCGCGTGGCGGGAAGAAAAAACGTCGCGCGCCCAGCAGCGGAAGCAAGTAGGCCCACAGGCCAGGAGTGTAGATGATCTGATACCATGTTAGAATCCTAAGCCAAGTTGGGGCTTAGGTTTTAGGAAGGAGAAATGCAAGAAGAGAGAGGTGCACTAGCAGGCAGGTGGGATACATGTAGGAACCCTAAAAGGGTTTTACTCTCTAAGGAATGACCCCACTACAGCCTACAGAGCAAATAACAATTTGACCAAGACTAGCAGAAGTTATGTGTTGGCAAGATTGATAACTGTAAAAATGACATATCATAAGCATTACTACTGCCAGCACACATACATGACTGGCGAAGTTTCGGGATTCGTGCGTCGGGGACCCAAGTGCAGGTCGGTGGGAGTGGGGGCACCCCGGGAATGAGCCTTTTACTCGCTTCAGGGTAAGAATCACTAACACGACATGTTACTTTTAAGCAATATTATACAAAACATGGAAACCTGATTGAGATGGGAAACCGTTTCTTGATTATAGAAAAATCTAAGCAAAAGTGTGACTACGATAATCCAGCCTGGTTATTAAGGTACCAGGGTAATTTACACTGATAAAGTTTCCCCTGACATCTTCATTATTCGTCATTCAGCGCATCTCTGTTTGACAACTCAAACTCATTAGATACATGCTATGAACATTTCCTTCCACTCAGGATTTCGTTTTGAAGGTAGCTGGAATATCTGTTTGTTGTGTGTGCATCTGGACAACCATCTCCGTTACAACAAACCTTGGGGTGTGCCGCGGATGCTATTGGATGGGGTGGGGTCAGTTGATTTCTGCTTTCCAAACTGTAGCTCCCTCGCCCAAGCCTATCCTCCTCCTCGCCGTTCACCCCACCCACCTGTATGAAGCTATGTGGTCCTACCACGGGTGAAATCTTGAGATTTGATGAGGCGCATTTTACAAGCGGCACTGGCGCGCATTTCACCCAACAGAAGCTCCTCGCATCTTAGTTAGTTCCGCAAGGCCTGAGATAAGTAGTCTCTCACCTCTCGCATGTGTTATCGCGCATCTTTCAGAGCCCCTTACTAGTAGATTCACGGCTCCGCGTGCCTTATTTCTGCGTCCCTCCGCGCACGTTCGTCTCCGCACTCGCCGGCCGCTATTCGAACTCCCGTGCTTCCTTACCCCACCCTTGGCCCTCACTTTCCCCCTAGGCCTCCTCACCCCCCACCGTAGGGCCCGAGGCCCCCAGCCCGCCGCCGCGCCGCCATGTCGTGGTTCCGCTCCGCGCTCAGCATAGGCGCGGAGGCCGCCAATGCGAGCGGCAAGGCGGTGGGGTCGGGGTTCGAGCGCGCGAGCTCGTTCGCGTCGTCGGTGGTGCAGCGCGCCAATGACGCCGTGCTGCTGGCGGGCGACGCGGTGGAGCAGGGCGCCAAGATGGTCTACGAGCACGCCGAACACGCTGTGGTGCGTCTCCCTGCCACCGCCGCCGCCGCCGCCGACGCCGCCACGTTGTGCGAGCGCCCCCCGCGTCATTCCTTGCGCATCCCTTCCACCGCCCGCCCGCGCTATGCTTTTGCCGCCGCTGCATGCCTTCACTCTCCATCGCGTTTGAGTGCTCAGCATGTGCCTTTGCCTCCATCTCACGGTCTCGCCAATCCTCGCGTCTCCACCTTCCCACCCCCCGCGTAGGGCGGCGCGTCGGCGCGGCAACACAACAGCTTCCGCCACGCCGTGCGGCGCATCGAGGAGGTGGCGATGCTGGCGTGCGGGGCGGAGCGCAAAGAGGCACTGGCGCGCTGGCTGGGCGCGCTGGCGGAAATCAGCGCGGAGAGAGAGCAGGCGGAGCGCGGAGAGAAGGAGCTGGCAGCACTGCAGAAGCTGGGGATGGGGCTTGCGCTTGGGGGGAACGCGGCAGCGGGTGGGGGGAGCGATGGTGGTGGGGGTAGCGGGAAGAATGACTCAGCGGAGGGCGGGGCGCGGGAGGCAGCGGGGCAACGGGCGGCGGAGGCAGATAGTGTGAAGATTGTAAATTGAACAAAAAGCGATTAGATTAGGGGGACAACCTAGCATACATGGTTGGAAGGAAAGGTTGGAAGGGAAGGATGGAAGGGAAGGATCAAAGTGACCATAGGTTGGGTTGACCTCACTTGGGGGGATGAGGGAACCATAGGTCAAGTGGGTTGGGTTGCCCATACTTTGTAGAAGTGAGGCAACCCTAGGCCCACTTGGCTTGGGGGAACCTCAATTGTGGGAAGTGAGGTACCCACAAGTCAAGAGGGTTGCATTTGGGGGCTCCACCACAATTGGGTGGATTGGCACCCCAAAGTGCAAGACTACACCCAAAGTTGGGTGTAGTCCCAACCCAACTGTACACCACAATTGGTGTACAGTCACATGTGTTGGCATGCTAGACAATATATATTTTAACACAACCCCTTAGGATGCTAACACAAGAAGAGAACAACCCCTGAGTCAAGGGGCGCCCGGGCGAGCAAGGCCAATGAGGCGGAGGAAAGCAGAGTGCGCGGGGCGAAGGAGGGCCTTAGTGAAGATGTCGGCCAAGTTGGCCTCGGTTGCAATCTTGCAAACGGCAATGAGGCCCTTCTGGATGAGTTCGCGAACGAAGAAGTAGCGGAGTTCGATGTGCTTGGAGCGGGCGTGATAGATGGGGTCCTGAGTGAGATGGATGGTGCTGGCGTTGTCGCACCAGAGAGTGGGGCACGTTTGGGGGGCGCCAAGCTCTGCAAGAAGGAAGCAGAGCCAGCGCGACTCCTGGGCGGCCATGGTGCCAGCGTAGAGCTCTGCCTCGCAGGTGGAGAGAGAGATAGCGGAGGAGCGGATGGAGCGCCAGCTGATGAGGCCGCTGCCAAGGGTGAAGCCGTAGCCCTGGGAGGAGCGGCGGTCCGGCTGCGTGTCGGCCCAGGAGGAGTCACTGAAGCCCGAGAGAAGGGGACGGGAAGGGCCGCCGAGGGTGAGGGCAAGGTCCCTCGTCCCGCGAAGGTAGCGGAGGACCCGCTTGGCAGCTTTCCAGTGCTCCTCAGAGTGATGACCGGTGCCAACAAAGCGAGCGAGCACGCTGATGGGGTAGGCGAGGTCGGGGCGGGTGCACATCATTGCGTGGCTTCAGTCAGCGACATGGAGTTTACTTCTTCTAGACCTTCTCCCCTACCCCGAAGATGACTACTCTTTGGGTACTGCTTCACGTCACCGCTCGGCGTGACTACGAGCTTCACTCTCTTGAATTTAGCACAGCCTTCCTACAGGGCAGCCTACACGAGGAGATCTGGCTGCACCACCCACCTGGCTTCACTGGGTCGTTTCCTGCGGGTACCCATTGGAGCCTCAAGTGGCTAGTCTACGGTCTCCGCCAGGCGCCTCGCAAGTGGCACGACACACTGAGGACGACGCTTGCGGCTCTTGGGTTTGCTCCTTCGACTGCTGACCTGTCGCTGGTTCTACGCACCGACACTTCTCTGCCGCCGTTTTACATCCTCGTGTACGTCGACGACTTGGTCTTTGCCACTGCTGACACTGAGGGATTCGCCCATGTGAAGTCGGAGCTGCAAAAGAGACACACGTGCACAGACGTGGGTGAGCTGCACAGCTATCTTGGCTTGCAGATCACCCAGGACAGAGCACAGCGCACCATTACCTTGACTTAGTCACACATGGTGCAGCAGGTCCTTCAGCGCTTTTGCTTTACGTACTGCTCGCCACAGTCCAACCCTCTACCTACCGGTCACTCGCTCTCAGCTCTGCCTTCGGATGAGTCTGTAGAGCCGAGTGGCCCGTATCCAGAGCTTGTGGGTTGCCTCATGTACCTGATGACCTGCACTCGACCTGACCTGGCATGCCCTCTTAGCATCCTAGCACGCTACGTTGCGCCTGAGAGACATAGACTAGAGCAATGGGAGGCCGCTAAGAGGGTGATGCGCTACTTGTGCAGTACGTCGGGCATGGGGCTCGTGCTTGGAGGACGGGCTCGAGTTGTCCTCACTGGTCACGCAGACGCTTCTTGGGTTGACGACTTGGCTACGCAGCGGTCTTCACATGGTTACACTTTCAGCCTTGGCTCCAGCTCTGTTTCGTGGCGGTCTACCCGCTCGTCTTCTGTTCTCAGTTCCAGTTGTGAGGCTGAGATATACGCAGAGGCCATGGCTGCACAGGAGTTACATAGGCTCACCTACCTGCTGACAGACTTACGAGAGCCGCCTCGTTCTCCTCTAGTTCTGTACATCGACAACAAGGCCATGATTGCCTTGTGTCAGGAGCACAGACTAGAGCATAGGACGAAGCACATCGCTCTGTGCTACTTCCTTGCTCGTAAGTTGCAACAACGTGGTCAGCTTCATCTTGCTTATGCGGCCCCTCGGGCCAACACTGCTGATATCTTCACCAAGGCACTTCAGCCTTGTGGTCATCAGCGCTTCTGTACTGTTCTAGGCCTTGTGCCTAATTGGCCTCACTTGCTCACTTCTTGACTTTGCTTGTACTGTGATCTGTATACTTATACCTGCATGCTTACACTTGCTAGGTTGTGATCACTGTACTGCTTGTTCTCTTTTATATAACTCTGCATGTGAACTGGCCTTGTGGCCATTTGCTTGTGCTCAGAATGCATGGTGACTTTGTGATCCACCCTGAGCTTGCTTTGCTCTTCTTGACTGGTCTTGTGACCTCTTGTTCTCCCCCACTTTGCCTATGGGGGTGTGTCAAACTAATATGCTGCATGTTGTGTATGCTGTAGTGGGGTAGCCCATATGGGATACAACCCAGTTAGGGTTTACTTCTTGTACTCCTGCATGCTGCTAGTTCATCCATTCCTCGTTCATTCTCCTGACACTGCCTTATCTTGCAACACCCTGGTTATGGGAGTGCGCGATGGAACCACGTTAAATTTCTTTTCAACCCACTCGGCAAGGTCATCATGCGGCTGCGTCTTGTTAGCCTGGTGGTGCTTGCAGATAGCACGTTTCATGTAGCGTATGAGAGAAATGCGTCCCATCTTGCAACCTTTGTAAGAATCCCAACCACTAGACCATTGGGATAAAAGGGCTTGTTAAGTAGCGTGTTAGTGCACCCATAACCCCCCAGGCCAACGTGCCTGTAACCCTTCCCTAGGATCAATCAGGGATCACCAGTGGACCTTTGACACCCCCCCGCACTGGGATGCCCGAAGTGCATACACCGGGATTCAAACCCGAGACCTTCGCTCTGATACAATGTGAAGAATGAGGAATGATGCAATATGAGAAACAAGTACAAGTTATAGTTGAGGAAGGGTGCACCACCAAGCAAGAACAAATGTATGACTACACTATAGCTAGAACTACATGCAGTTATATATAATTCTGACAACCTTCTCTGGTTGTTGTCTATGGAAATTTGACAAGTTCTTATTTCCAGCCAATGTTGCTCGCAGAGTCGCCATTGGCGAATGCAATGGAATTTGGTGGATTTCTTCGATTTCAATATTGAATTGCACAATTCCGGTTTGACGTGGCAGGAAGGGGTTTTGGATTTCCAGATGTGCCACGGATGCATCAGGGGGGTTGAAGTCAGGTTTGCCATTCATTGAGCCAGTCGTTGGTGACGCGTGTGATTCCCTAAGTCATTTCTGGAGAATTCCCACGGGTTTCGCACATGTCCACGCACTGTACAACCATATCTTGATTCAGCCACCCTTCCAGGTCTGTTAAAGTCAACAGCTGTGCGAACCAAGTTGGCAGTCGTGATTGCGCATGTATACAAGGTGCTAGCACCATTCCGGGCACGCTGCAGTCACACAAAATGTTGGGTCGAATGTCAGTGTGGCGCGAATAAGGGTGTACTGGCGAGATGCGTTTTTTGACTTTTTGTCTTTAGTTTCGCCACTCCCTTGAGCTCGAAATGCTGCACGTTCAGATTTCATGTGAAAACTGTCGACGATTCGATAACCGTTTGCGCTGCAAAAATCGCAATTCGTTTTGTTATTTAGAGAGCGTGACTTTTCGTCGAATTTGTGGACTTCCATGGAGTCGGCGAACGTGGATGACGCAGACGATCTCCTTGTCGTGATCCGACGACTTGGGGTCGTCGTGTTACGGAGTTGACCAAGTCAAAAAGCTCCGCGGCCGATACGATCTCGATGTAGCTGCTTCAACCTGGCGGCGATTATCGTTTTTCAGCCCCGCGATGTAGGACTGATTTTTTTCACCCTCGGTAATGTCGGGAATGCGATTTAAAATTCTTCCATCTGCTGCTTGTGTTGCGCGACACTCCCGTATTGCCGATGGTAATGTATGTTTTCTCGCGCAATATGTGCAAAATTAATCGGCTCAAAACGTTTGAGCAGGTCTGCACGAAACTGCTGCCACGTGGCTTCACCCTGGAAATTCCTACTGTTGCTTCCGAGCCACTCGAGAGCTGGACCGTGCATCAACGTTGTGGCGAGACGAATTTTTTCGCCGTCGACCATCCGATTGTCGCAAAATAATTTTCGATCGTTGCGAGCTATCGCCTGACGTCCGATTTCCTGTCGTTGGGGTCGAACGATTCCGGCGATTGAAGTTTCAGAGCCTCGAACTGACGCTGCGACTGCTGCGAAGTCGACGAAGCAGGAATGTTCATGGTCGTGAGGAGCTCCGAAACGCGCTGCAGTTCGTATCACAGCTGCTCGTTCTCCAATCGCGGCCGTTCGGTCGTCGCTTGCATCTTCGCTTCCATCTTGGCGATTTGCGTGAAGAGCTGCTGCGTAACATCGTTGGTCGTCGGCGATCCCATCCTGTTCAGAAACCACGTGGGGGGGTTAAAATGAAAAGCGCGGTGTCAGTAGATCTGCACTGTGGATGCCCGATTGATCCAGGAGAGGGTTACAGGCGCGTTTTCCTGGGGGGTTATGGGCGCATTGACCCGCTACTGAAACAAGCCCTTTTATCCCAATGGTCTAGTGGTTGGGATTCTTACACGCGGAACTGGTCGCTCTCGACGGATTTTCGAGGCTGGTTTTTCCGCGTCTGCTGCTTAGCTGAGAGTTGTCGAAAGAGAACGTCTCT